TTGCCCTGTTATTGCTCTTATGGGGAACATTTTTTGGCACCATGCACATACATACATACTTACACACGAGAATACGCCTAACGATATACATACATATGTAAATGAAAAAAATTGCAGAGTTTTTCTCTTAAAATTCGCACACTTTTTATGCGCCTCGGCAACGCATTGATTTTGAAATCCGCAAACAAATTGGTTTCGACCATGCGTACATATGTACATATTGAAGTATGTATTGCTATTGAATATAAAACTTGTACACTTTTTTCTGTTAATATTATTATTTTATGGAAAGCTATAGTTATTTAATACAAAGTATAGCTTAAAATCCGGACAGTAAGTCACAATAATCACAAAAAAAAAGCTTTGTACAATTTTTACACTTAGGGTGGATATGTATATAGAAAAACTCGTTGATATGATTTTATTTCCGCACTGTTCTTGGTATTTTATTTTAACCATAACGATGAGGTTAATGGCATAAGGACTGCGCTTTTTTGCATTAATTTTCTGGCTTTTGTTTTTTTTTATCATAGACTTTTTGATGCTTTTACTAACAGCAGCCAATATTAAGTGTATATGTACATATGTGCATACATACATACATAGTATAATTGTTTTCCATTTTTGGTAAAGACTTATTTTACTCATTGGTTATAAATAGTTTTTCTTTCATATTTTATGTTTTTTTTTTTAATTTTAATCTATCCACACGATTTAAAAATAAATCGAAGCGTATTGCTGAGCGTTAAAGATCTCAGGTGTTTGTCTCTCAACATATCGCTGCTAAATGCCTCATGCAAGGATTCACTCCTTGCAAAGCAGGGACAGAAGCGCAAAAAGTTCTCCACCATCTCGTCTTCTTCAAGGCAGAGTAAAATGGTTTTGTTATGATCATAATTAGAGGGCTGGCTAATGCTTCCCCATCTATTTTCCATCAATGTAGTCCATGGCCTTGAGTGTTGCAAATACCTCAGCTTGGAATACCGAAAGATATTATGCAAGAGGGAAGGGAAGATACGGACCCCACATCCGGACTCTGTGCCAGTTCTGGAGACATCAATAAATATTCTACACTGCGTATGTCCGCGCTCAGTATTAAGGTTTATATTGGTTGGTGGGTAGAAGGGCCGCCTGAGCACTTTCTCAGGACCCAATTAGCGCTAAGAACACTATTTTGATATGCCTTCTCTGGGATACTGATGTTATCTGCTTTTGTGATTCGTCAGTTTTGTCAAGGCACTTGGATTTGTCGATGAATCTATTTATGTTATGTGTCGTGCCTTTTGCGTGCCAAAGCTGCTCACTCGCAAAGTTGGTGTCGAACCGTTTGCTTAAAGGGCTCCTTGCACTTGCAAAGGCTCAGCTCTTGCTTGTAGTGGGGATTCTGACAAGCCATTGTTCACTCACGCGGTAACACTAGCTATCTCTCAACTGATCCCTTTTATATCAGCTGTCAAGGGGATGATGAGGTGGACTCATCTCAACACTTTTTAGTAGAATGTCCAGCCTTCGCGAGGCTGAGATGGAAACATTTTGGTTCGCACTTCTTAACTAACCCTGAGCTCTCGGGCATCGAAATAAGCCGCTTTCGAAATTTTGTAATAGGCACGCGGCGATTCGGCGAATAAATTAATGGTCTCTGTTCAGTTTTTCGTGGCATCATAAAGGACATTCTCCTAATTGTCCAAGTGTGTCCATTGTCTGGGGCAATCAGTCTAGCCTAGCCTAACCTAATCATGGAGACCAGTAGACGTTGTCTTTATCCCTAAAGTTGGTAGGAACAACTATACTGGTCAAAAAAGCTTCCAGACTAAAGGCATTATGCCCTTTATGCTGACTTGTTGGGAGAAATTGGTAGAGTTGCGCATTCGTGCGGAGGCGCTTTCATCACATCCTCGGTATTCGCATCAACATGCCTATCAACTGTGGGAATCTTGTGAGACGGCTCTGCTAAATATGGTTGCCACGATGAACAATGCCATTCGCCTTGGACTTTTTTGTAGACCTTGAGTGTGATTTTTATATTTATTTTCAACGTGGTCTTATGTAGATATATGTATGTGTATCTATTTATATTCCTTTTAGCCCGTTATTGGGGTATGAAAACCAGAGCGCTTGGGTATATAAATATTACCCGTAAAGTAGCTAAAGTAACAAAATAGATAGATAGTGTGAACATTACTACGTAACAGTAGCACTTAGAAAAATTAAGTGAGAAAAGTGTGTAGAAGTGGAAAAAAGTAAACGAAATAAAATAAATACATAGCCATTAAAAGAGAAAAAAAGGACTTGATAAAAAAAAGTATGTTATCTTAGTGAACGTCAAAACGCTTCAAGTAAATTTCATAATAGTATGCTCAAGAAAAGTGAGAAAAGCACAATAAAACTGAATAAATGCGCACTTTAACCCACCGATAAGTAATGACGGTAAAATAAAACATACCGGCAGCATGTTGAATAGAATATTAGCAAAGCGTGAAGATAAAAAAAAAAAACTGCTAACAAACATTATCTCAATGAAAAGCTAGCAGTTAGCAGCCATCAACAAGGCAGTCAACGAAAAGACCATCATCACCGACCGAAGAGTTGGAAGATGAATTACGAAATGACCCACAGGCAGCCACATCAGACATCATTAGTAGAAGGCGTATGTACATATGTATGTATGTATTTTAGAATTTGGCCAAAAGGAAATCGGCAAATCGAGGAAGGATGTCATAAAAGTACGAGCGCTAGTGCAGTGCATGTCAGTTTGTATGTGTGTATGTATGTATGTGCTTATGAAAGATCTACATCTTGATAGTTGAGTTGAAAAATACACTTTACGCTTCAATTTCCCTAATCATGGTCATTAGTGCCCTCATTAGCGTTCGAAAATCCTCGTTAGTCCACCTTATACTTCTTCTCACTTTTGATTGTATTTCTTCGATACCCGCCGATTTGGCAGCACTTTCGTCACGCCCTTGCATCAATTGCAAACACAGGCGGTAGATAATTTTTGATCGGAAATTTTGATTTGTTATTGCGCGCGTCAATTTTTCTGTCTTCTTTACGTTTCGTCTACAATAAAATCGCTAATAACACTTTGATAGAAATTCCAAAAAAGTTTTTTTCTGTTTTTTTTTTCTATTCACTGTTATTCTTTCGCTATAATCTATTTCATGGTGATTTCAGTTTTCCCAAAAGAAATGCATTTTCATCGAGTTTACTGCGAGCACTTCACTAAGTTGCGTTAACCACTTTTGCATTCTACTTTCTAATTTCAAAAGCTTCTGTAGTGTACTTTTCGATCTTTTTCACCTCGGTAAATACCATTTGCGTTATTTGCGATGCGAAAGCTTCTGCCGTTTCCATGACTTTTTTGAATTTATCCAAATTTGGTAAGACGCCTTCAATATGTCCCTTAATTCTTTCTTTGTCAACTTCTTTCACCCAACCGCGTAGCCCCAGCAAATTTACTTGCGTTTCCAAAAATTTGTTGAACATTTCTTTCGGGAATTTGCCTTTAAAGTCGAAATCCAAAGAAAATAATTCCTCCTTGGACATAATTGTAAATTTGGATTGTTATTTGCCGAATGAACTGTGGATTGAATTTAATTCGAAATGTTTTGAATTGAGGAACGATTTTTGTGGAGTTTATATATTTCTATTGTCAGTAATTGCTATGATAGTTAGGATAGTTTAAAAAAGAATACATTTTGGAACAATTTTTAAATTTCTAAAACGGTAAAGTTAAATTAGAGTTGAAAGGTGGTCATCTGCCGGTTTTCTACAAGATGGTAAATTATTTTTACTTATTTTTACTTACTTTGAGGTAAGTCGCTAGCAGTGTAAAACTTAGGTGACACAGGGGGTTATGAAATCGCCACCATCTTGTAAACTACGGTGGTTAGTGGAGCACCAAATCTAGGGTCTTATATTTAATATTGGACTCTACGACACAGTGATACTCCAAGTGCGCGAATAAGAGATCTGAGATAGGATTAAATAGAAGCGGTTCAAAGCGAACAGCCTCCCTTGCGTTTCCTCTTTTCACGAGTTGAGGAAATTGCCGGAACCTCATATCAGGCTCATTTTGACCACTGCTAGATGAGCGAGGAAGACGGCGTTTGCTAATTTTCTGAAAAGCGCATGTCCAGCTTTTCATTAAAATACAGTTGGACACTAGGCTACTATTTATATAGCCGCCACGTTCAAAATACCGTACAATGATTTCTGTATAAGCAGTAGAGAGGCTTGATCGAGTCAGAACTTTCCATGCAATTGTCCGGCACTTCGAAGACAGTGCCTCAAATTTATGGGGGACCAGCTCTTCGAGAACTTCGATTGCTTAGAAAAAACTCCATTAGAGGGTGTACTAGACTTTGCTAAAAAATTGTGGTGGCTCAAAGAAATCGCTCTACTGGGCATCACAATTGACTATGTGGCCTCCGAATGAACTCTTCGACCTAACCTAACCTAACCAATTTTGTAACATCACCGGTATCAATTCACTTAAACAAATCCTATTACATAAAGTATGTTCAAAACAGCGGGACTTCTATCTTTTTTTTGCCAAATTGTACCTTTCTGTCACTTAATGTCCCTACACATAATAGCCAGGCATTTTTTTTTTGTACCCCACTTATAGGGTTTTTTTGTAGTACATTAGACTATAGTAAACAAAAACTCGTATCCTTCGGCTTGTTAGACGTTTTATTTATTACTTTACAAATTGTCCTATATTTGTTTATGCCAATATAGTCACAATTTATCTTTGTATCTTCAAAAAACGCGCCACGCTCAGTATTTCGATTCGAAGTTCAACTCAGAAGTGCACTTAGAGCATATCAAATGCGAAGTTGGGCGCATTTTGTGATGAAACAATACAACAATACACAATAAAATCGTAAAACATGCCGTTTTATGAAGTCATCTATGTATTCCAGGTTTTCCTAAATGGCAATTTTTCATGTTTCCATTTTTATAGCCACAATTTTTCGGCCAGCGTTTGCGCTGATTCAACACATTATTTCGAATTTTTCGCTAGTATATTTGTTGATTTGTTTCATTTCGCCGAACACGTTGGTAATAATTTTTGAACCAAATTGCGGCGAGTTTCTTAATACAGTCTTGAGCTTATCAATCTTGGATAACTCTCCCTCCAACCGACCCTTGATACATCCATCTTCGATCTCTTGAGCCCAACCTCGGATGCCGAGATAATTGATTTCATTTTCAAGATACTGGTTGAAGAGTTCACGGGCAGCCCTTGCGCTGATCTCGAATTGACAAGCGTAGAGCACGATTTTCTTAACACGTGGTTTGGGTACTTCACTGGACATGACGATCAATTTCGAATATTAATGCCAACCGAATTCAAACCGTCTTTAATTTGATTTGATTTATATTCATTCTATTTGTTTCTCTTATTAAGAGTTTACAAGATTTTTAATATTTCATTTTAGAACTTTTCGATTTTGTTGAGAATATTCGCTATGAATTTTAGATTTTTTTTATTAGAGCTATAAAAGGCGAAATAAAAGTGATGCATGAATATGAGTATAAAAATAGTATACAAGCAAGTTTTAAAAGATTTTTTCTCGATTTCGAAACTAAATTGATACAGTGTATTTTATTGAAAGTAATGCCCATCGCTAGCTCTAACTTCTTCCCACATTTCTGACAATGTGTGGATTTCGCGCAAATAAAGTATCGAGCCAATTTTTGATAACTGTGAGATAGGTTTTGACCACTTGTCCATTACCGCCGTTTCTCCGTAATCGCTCGCTTCAATCACATCAGTTGTTGGCTGCAGAGAGCCCTTCTCATGATACAGAATTCCCTTCCGACCCCACCACATGCAGAGCATTACCTTGCTGCCTCGTATATTTGGCTTTGACGTCGTTGGTCTGGGTCCGTCGGGGTTAACATAGGCCTACTGGCGATTAGGATTGTTGTAATGAAACCATTTTTTATCGCCGATAATAATACAATGAAAAACGACTTCGCTGGGTACCGTTGAAGAGCCATTTCAGAAACTGTGACACGCCCTTGGATATCTCTTGGTTTGAGTTCGTGAGGCACCCAGTTCCCGACATTCTGGACCATACCAATGTTTTTCAATGGCAACGAAATATATTTCTGAGTCATGCGTGATATTGCCGCAAGTTCTTCTTGGGTTTGGCTTGGGTTTTCGACCAAAATTGCCTCCACTTCTGCGTCTACAAGACCTCGATAAGAAGGAGGTATAATACACTGTAATTTCCGTCTTATCAACACATTTCTTTACGTGGTAGGTCCCAAGACTAGCGCAACACCGCAAGTCGTAAGCTGTCATCAAACGAAGGGTTCAGTGTTGTCAAAGCGCAATCAAATATGTTGCTCTTCTGAAAGTTTTGATGTTACAAGCCATTCCTTCGTTCAGAACAGTAGCATTTAAGTTTTGAACCCACATACTCAACTGTGGGTACCAACATTTCAATAAAAATTTTGTGCCTTGTGTTTGTTTATGCCTCGATTAAATGGAAAAAGTGATGAACTTCGATAATAATTTTTATTTATGTACATATTTTCATTTTTTCATGACTTATCAGCATTTCTAATGCCGAAAAGCAATATTTTGATTGTAATTGTCATGAGACCATTTTCAGGCGACAATTTTAGGCCCACTGAGGGGTGCTTAAAGAAGCTGAAAAAAATAACACACATTCAAACATATGTACATACTTATGTATGTACATACATAGAAACGAGCAACAGAATTTACACACCAAAATGAAGACATCTCACGACGATTAATTTGAGTAGTTTTGGGTTTCAAAGTGCACATAACTATGTAATAAATATATGCATAGTTACCCTCTAGGAAATGACAGTATAGCTCCATGCATGCTGTACAGTTTCCAAAGCATGAGGACATTCTCTTTCGGTAGACAGTTAATTCTGTTTTTAACATACGATGTCATTGGTGGAAAACTTTCCTCTCCGATCTCCATGAAATGCATGTGGAAACTTTTTCTCCAAATGTCTTCAATAAATTTCCTCAAGCTTTCTTTAAAAAGTGGAGCGGAAAAATTTTTTTTCTATAAGAAGAGAAAAGGAAACTTCTGCTTTGGGTCCATAAGCAACGAAGAGGAATGGTTCTACATTTCATATTTTCCTGGAGGGTATATAGTTATATATGTAGATATACATACATACATACATACATATTGATTATCGTTAATGGCATTTTCAACTTTTTCTTGGTTCTTCACTTGCAACCATAAAGATGTTGTGTCGCTTTGAATTATCGTTATGTCGGTGATGCTTTAGAAGTGATTTCAATAAATTTCCGCTGCAGCTTTGGTAACGTAAATAAATCCAATGCTTTGCGGATAAAGGGCCATAAATGCTATCTGCGTGTACTACGTCGAGCTTGTACCCATGTAAATGCGTGCTTTCAGCTTTCACACGCATAATTGGATTATGCGGCCTAACAACAACATACATATGACCGCTTGCCGCATCCCATCATTTCAGCTGCCGAAGTGTACTCATAAATTTGGTTTCACAAAAAAAAAAATATCTTTATATAGACAGGCGACAAGCGAGATTAGCGCTTGTCAGCCGAAAGGGGTCCAGATTACGCGGTCCAGCGTTGCGTTGTTCAGGCATTGCTCGCCATGCGTTAATTCGTTTTCATTTCTTTGCTTGTCCCCCACTTTCAGCTTATCTGGGATGCTGTTGGCAACAGCTGTTTTCTTGTTGTTGCTGACTGCTTAGCGCATTGCAGCGTGTTGATAATGAACTTGAAAACTAGCTGTCTGCATACATACATACAACGAGTTTTTCATTTCACTTGCGTAATTGCGATGAGATTTTTCTTTTCATATCTGCTATTTTTTTGTACTCGAAACATAATTGCTTTTACCGAAATCGCGTTTGTTGAGTTGGGTATTTGTTAATTTAATTTTATGCTATAATTTAGCGCATTTTTTTGAAGCTGCGTCGCCCATCAGTTAAAGTGTAAATACTAGTTAATCGGTTGGTTTAAGTTTCTTGGGATTTCTTATTCATTGCGGCACTTTCTTTTAATTACACAAAAATCGAGTTGCTCTGTTAACGCCGCGTCTGCTGGATTCGCAGGTTTTCGCTGGTGGAGACGCGAGTAATTGGAAAGTGACAAAAACTGGCGAGGGCGGTGATTCATGCAATCACTTTCTATCTTCGCATGCCTTGATAAATATTTTTAATGGCTCTTAGTTTTTGTTGTTTTCACTTGCATTATATTGCATACAAAGTATGCCATATTTTATAAAATAAATGCTGATGAACCACATAAATTTACTTTCACTGTCACTGGCATTTTAAAATAAATGTCACTTTAAAAGCTGTTTACTTATACCCTAAGTCATATCTTACAGGAAATAGAGTGAGGTTTTTTTTTAAGAATTAAATACAAGTAAAATTTAAGATAATCGTTAATTTCTTCATGATCAAAAAATTGGATTTAAACCAAATTAGTATGTGTGAGGTAACACCTTTTCTTTAAAAAAGAATTATAGAAATCGGTTAACGAGGTCCAAAGTTATGCGGTAACATAAATAAAGAAATAAAAATATTCCGACGAATTTATAACCTTCTCATTTTTGTGAAGTCGGTTAAAAATTGACGAAAATCAATATTTCCGGTATATTAATGCATTATTAGAAAGAGCAAACATTCTAACTAAACTAAAACTAAAATTTGGTATGTTTTTGAAGGTCTTGTGAGGGCTTTGGCATGACTTGGAATTGACCTTATACATTCCAGTTTGTCGATAAATTTCTGTAATTTTATACATATCCATAATTCGATGAATTAAAAAAAACACCGAAATTCGATAGTTCGACTTATTTCAATAATTTTCGATAAGTGTTCATTTCGAGGGTTCGATAAATTTTGATACCTCTGTAAATTTCGTTAAGTTGATTAATTTTCATAGCACCATATTTTCCGAAAGCTATTGACAAACTCGGTAACTCCGATAACACGATTAAATTAGGTAAGCAGTGATAGCTCAATAAACTTATATAACCTTAATATTTGAAAATTCCCAAATCAATAAATATCGATAACTCGATAAATTCCATTAGCTCTATAAATAATGATAATTCATAAATATCGATAACTTGGTAGATTTCATTAACTTGACAAATTTCTATAATGCCATAAATTTTTACAGTTCTTTAACTATTTATCCGTAAATTTCGAAATCTAAGTTTCTGTGTCTATAAACTCAATAAACATGGATAACTTGATAAATTTCGATAACTATAAGCTTCGATAAATCGGTAACTTGATAACTTTTGATAACAAAATATTTTATGACGGAATTCCTGTCGAAAAATATTAATACATTTTCTTACGATTTCAGTTTTCCTAATTCTTATTTGCTTTCATTTTCATCTCTTCTTTGCCTCCACTTTTTTGTCTTACTAGCTGTTATCATTTATTTCTTGACAATCACATTTATTTTTATTAGAAAGTTTAATTTCAAATACGGAGTAAAACAAGTATAAACAAATTCGAAAATGTTTTAATTACTATTTTAGCCATAAAAACTCTCCTCATCTATTATTAAATATATGTTTTTCACCTTTCCGAAACCTTCCGCTAGATGTTAAGCCGGGGTCTATCAATTTTGAGTAAATTAGCGTCCTTCAATTTCGAAATACTGCAGTTTCAAGTATTTCTGAAATTTACCGTTATATAAAAAGCGGCCGTAATTTTAGTCCGATTTCAATAATTTTCAACGTTTTGCTTTTATGTAGCAAGCACAATAAAAATACCGAGTTTGGTACAAATTGCTAGAACGGTTACCGATATACATACCTGTGATCATAAGTGGGCGGTGCCAAGCCCATTTTCCAAAATTTTACCATAAACGTATTTCTTGGTAAAGAATTGTTGCAAGCATCAATTTTGAATAAATTAGCTTCAATCGTTACTGATTTATCGAAGATTATGTATTTCTCTAAATTACCGTTATATGGGNGCATAAATTTTGAATAAATTAGCTTTAATATTTACTCATTTATCGAAGATTTTGTACTTCTCTAAATTACCGTTATATGGAATGTGGGCGTAGTTATTTTCCGATTTTTTAAAATTTCGGCCATTTAGTATGCTGTACCAAGGCCAACAACTTTGCCAAGTTTGAAAAAAATTGGTGCAGCAGTTACCAAGATATACACATGTAACCATAAGTGGGCGTGGCTACGCCCATTTTCCAAAAATTTATAATATTCTTATTTTTCGTCTAAAACTTGTTGTAAATATCAATTTTTAGTGAATTATCTTCAGTAGTTACTAAAATATT